CCCCCCCCCCCCCCCTCATGCGGGTCTGGGATAGTAAGGTCTGTGGAATTCACTTGGTGAGGTTTATGAGCTTCCGCACCCCGCAGTGCAGCTTATAATGCTTGTAGTCCAAGTTAGATCAATCCCCTCCCTACGGTAATAGCCATCAAATATGAAGTTAATAGGGCCTCAACATACCTACAACAGTCAATCGATGGTGGTAACCGTTACTGGGTGGGGGCCTGACCCATAGTCCACGGCATGTGACGCTCAATGTCTCGCTGCATCCTGCTGTGCCCCCTCCCTCCACCTGGAGAGCGAGAACTAGACAGCCTTTGTCAATTGCTCTAGGTTGAGATGTGCGAGTGTGGGACATTCATTTAGGGTTTAGGGTTTAGGGCTTATGAAAGGTGAAAGGGTTGATGGTGAAAAGCTCAGAGCGCCAAGCTTCTCAACTGCATCTAAAATCTTCCTTACAAAAAGATTTGGGACGTATTGAATACTCGGGGCGGATGGGTGTGTAAGATTATTCTTATCTTTGTATGTTTAGCGTGGGATTGACAAGGATCTTTGAGTAGGCAAGTCACATCTGTGCTGGAGTCTGTTACCTTGACTTACTGCAGCGCTTTGAGGCCAGACATGTATTGGAAACCTTCATTTCGCCATCTGCTAGGTAGAAAAATCCAAGTTATACCTGGGTAGTATGGGGTCATCCCAAGGACTATGAGACTATGCTACTGCGACGCACTCTGCTTTTAGGGTTTAGGGTTTAGGGTTTAGGGTCATGGCGAAACTCAGTCTGTCCCAGTCAGGTAGATCCCTTCAGGGGCCTCCAAAATGGACAAACCCTCTGGAAACCTCTCGGTTCGTTTATGTAATTTCCTAGCCTTTACTAGTAATAACGATAGTACTAGTAACAATCATGTTTAAAACAAGTCATAATACAAAACATCCTTTATAATGGATAGTTCTAATAATTGTATTTGAAAAAGGACATGCGTGTCACATTCTGGTAGTTCGTGGGACCCTGGGGTCATTACAGGGTTAGGCTACTTATCACAGGCTACGTTAGGCATATAATGGGCTTGCTAAGTGCATATAGTATATCAGGTGAGCTATCTTCGAAACTCCTAGTATCCCCCTTGATAACCCCTATCATACTCCCCGATATAATCCCCTACAAAGGGCCCCTTTAAGGAGTTTAGATTATGGATCAGGTAACTCCAGGGTCCAGGGTCTCTCAAAGTAGGCACCCCTTACTCATCCCTACGCCTCCGTACATGCACCGAGAAATGCTGCAATCGTATGTTGTACTCATGCTTACGGCCGTAAACCCTAAACTTAGGGTTTGGCCTTGCTCGTCCAGCCGTGCAGTTTAGGGTTTAGGGGCCTTCTTGTGATTTGCCCCCTTTATGAACACGAATCTGCCCCATGTATGGATCGTGCAATTTAGGAAGAACGGAGCAACGCCTGCCCTAGTGCTAAACCCCATAGACGGGAAAGACCTCCTGGCAATCATTGTGGGTGTTAAAGAAGGGTCCCTCTATCTGAGAATAGGGGGCGCTCGAAGGCGCCCGTGGCAGATCTGAGAGGGAATTGCAACAGTGTTGACTAAACCCTAAACTGGGTCCTTGTTGAACAACACTGTACATTGGTATGTATACCTGAGCCCCATATAGATATAACATGATGGGTTTTGATAGTATTTCAACAACAACCCAATAAACTTTAACCCCTAGGCCCAAACCTTGTTTTTTACATTCTGAAAAGGGGAGACATTCCTCATGGGTGGGTGGGCACAACCTGGGGGGGAGAGAAGAGGAGCTCGCGAGATTCCAGTTGATCTCTTTACAAAACCCCTTAACGGTTTAGGGTTTAAGCCCTTAACCTCCCAAAAAAAAACTCTGTTCGTGTAGGGTTTAGGCGGGTTTACCTAAACCCCCAAAGTAGGTAAAATAATGGCCCAAAACCCCTAAATATAGCCCAAAGGGCCATTATTCTACATACTTTGGGGGTCCAGGTAGGGCTTGGGGAGTCAGACCCCGATTCCAACCGCAGTACTGTTGTGGCTCGGAGCAGCTCCTTTTCCACTCCTCGCTCGCGCGTGTGCCCGCGAAGGCGGTCCAATTTGAGATGCCCTAGTAGATTGGGGTCTATTTAGGGGACCCCTTGTTTGGGGAAACTCCCGTTTGGGTATTCTTTGTCGGCTTTTGAGAACCCCCAAGTAGGATCTTCTCAATTGTCCAGTCACACTAACTTTTGAGATGGATGTTCCTATGTATTGCTACATTCAAACCTAGAACACAGGTAGGTGGACCACCTTGTTTCCAATCGAATTATGAAGCCCAACAAGGGCCTAGTAGCATTAACTCCTGCCATAGCTTCTCCCAGAAAGCGGTTTCACATGCCTGTTGGACGCTTGCCCTTACCAAGCAATTGTGTTGCGGGCACGGGTTGTTCCAGGATTTTTGTGTTGACCGTTGGTTGGAAGCAGTAGGCCGCTGTGTTGAATGCCAGATCAGCGGCATTTGCATGGCGACTGTGCCTCATCAGCTAAAGATGCCAAACTCCTAAGCCCCTCAACCCCAAACCCAAGCCCCTCTTATTCCTGGACTGCGTGCTTTTTGCACTGGACCCCGCTGAGCGCCGCATTTCCCTCTAAACCCTAAACCGCCTTTCGAACCCTGGGCAAAGTTCACCTCGTACGAGTTTATTGAGCCAGGTCGAGATGAGAGTGAACCCATCAGAATCTTGGATGCCGCTCGAGGTTTAGGAGTATAGGGTTCAGGGTTTCGGGTTCTGAGCACCGTACTTTGTGCCCACACACCCGCCCATCCGTTATGCAGGATTACACATAGCAGCATGGTGGGCAAGCGCCGGCCTTAAGGGCAACCGGCATCCTTTCACACTCTCCCTCTTCCGCCACGGAAGACCATTTCCAATGGCGCGCCCCGCTCCCCCAGACTTAAAGCTAGAGTCACATTTGTTGCAGTTCCCGATAGTGGGCCGCCTACGCAAATCCGCTCTCCCAACATCGTTAGACGGACTGACAAAGCAGGCAAAGCAGACGCGCCCGTGCACTACACCACCTCAGCCTGCTGAGCGTAACTTTCTCCACTCCGTAGTTTGTGCCCACGCGGCCACCATCCGCTATGCAGGGTTACATATAGCCGCGTGGTGTGCCCGGCAAGCGGCATCCTTTCACAAGGGTTTAGGGTTTGGAGTTTAGGGTTAGGGTTCGGCTGGGATGTCCTGCAGCTCCTGCGAGTTGGATGCGGTTCTTCTAGTTGTGCTTCTGGCATGCTGGAGCGCTAGGCAGTCGTCTAGGGCTGAGGGCTGCTGCCGTGTCTGCCTTGGACGATTTTTGATGGGTTGCGGAGGGAGTCGTCTTCGCATGCGCTGGCTAAACCCTGAGTCCCCCTATGAGAGGAGCAAAGGAAGGCTACACTTAGCTGGGTCATTGTTGAAAACATGTGTGAATGTCAAGTTAACTCATCTCAAGTAATTATATCAAGTTATGACTCCAAATGAGCTATAGTCTAAACTCCTTACACAGGGTTACATAGAGGATTACATACGGGTATATTATAGGGGTGATTAAGGGGGACACTAGGAGTTGAGACTATAGCTGAAATGATCTGCCAAAGGATGATTCCGTTGTTTATTCAGAGCCGATACCTTGGCTCCCAATGTCAGATGTGATTCGTGCCAGAACTCGCAAAAGGCTGAAGCCCCAAGCAGTGCAGTTGGGCGGGAATGGATCCCTATAGTAGTCTCAACCTAAACCCACCCTGAACCCTCTAGACCAAGCCGTGGACCAAGGGTTAACTGACTAAGCCGCACAGCCTGCATGCTTGGGGTTTAGGGCTTAGGTTTTAGCCTTTGGGTTTGGGGTAGGAAGGGCTTTTCGGATTGCTGCTTTTGGAGCTTAGGCCAAAATCACAGGTCTACTTCTATAGGCCAGCGGAGGAACTTTCCTGATATGGACACCCAAATTGTCCCACTTAAGCTCCACAAGCTCTACTGTCTTGCCGCTCAATCTCTATTCCCAAGAAGAAGAGTCCTGAAGAACGAACAGATAGGGATCATGCACCCTAAGCCCTCAATGCAAAATCTTTAGCGGCCAGGTGCTGTAACCTCCCTCCCCTCGACCCTCGAAAGTCTGTCTGAAATGAGGACATCTACCCTGCCGTCAAGCGCTTCCTCACTGAGAGCGGCCTTAACAAGACCCTCAAGGTCTTCGAGAAGGCCAGGGAGGGGGCAGAGCCTTCAAGAAAGCGGGGGGTGCGCGCAAAGTAGGGAAAACGCAAATTCCGAGTATCGTTGCAGTGCTCAAATACAAAGTATCTATGCAGCGCCCAGCCGCCGAGCATCCCAGCAGTGCCCAGGGTATCCAACCGCAGACGCAGAGTATCCGTGCAGTGCCGAACTTCAGAGTATCCTCGCAGTGTGCAGAGAATCTCTGCAGAGCCCGACACAACAGTATCCCTTCCGGTGCCCACCCTACAGCCCTTGTAAACGGTCCCTATGTAGGCCTAATGACCCTGTCGAGGACGATATCACCCGTATAACACCTTCAAACGGAGGCTGTGCAAGCCTTCCAGCGCCACTCAAAGAACTTTATATAGCCCTTTTCAACCCTCGAAAAGGGACGGAATAATTCAAAATGTTCATAGCATGCCCACAGCATGAATACTCCAATCACACCCCACAGGATTTCTACACTCCAGCTGCCAAGCCCCCAGGCAAACAGCCAAAGGTAAAGACTGAAATCTTGAACAGCATGTATTCCCCCTAACATTAAACCTCCCTCACTGCCGTCATATGAAATATTCCCATTGTGGTGTGTGTATATATATAGACATATTGTATACTTGTTATATATATATATAGATATTGGGAATATGTAATGTTAGGAGGGCGGGGGTGTTTGATATTGGGGGGAGGGTATTACCCCGGGCAAGCACCCTGCCTTCAAAAACGAATGAGCCTTGCCAAAGGATGAGAGGCTTGGAAAGTTATGGTTTGCTGAGGAATGCTTTCTTGTGCGGGGACAGTAGAACCTTTCGGCGGCACTTCTCAAATATACGAATATCTGTGGCCAGCGTGGTTTGCGCAGTCTTAGGTTATTTTAGAATATGACCCCCTGATATGTGGGATGCCGATCTAGGATGCCAAAATGTGCAAATCAGTTTGACCAAAAAACAGAAGCCCGTTTTCGTAGTAGAGGCATAGGAAAGCCTTTAGAACCTGAATTTGGGGCATGTATGATCCGTCATGATTGCAAGGTTTTTGGCTTGGGAACTTGGCTAGGGTTCTTCAGCATGATCATTTCGCCGGCCGCTGCAAGGAAACTGCCGCCCTGGAAGACCTTCCTGTGGCCGGGGACCCTGTGCTTCAGGATTTGCCCTAAAACCTGGACCCTAAACCCTTAGGGGTGAGGGGTTGTAGAGATCTAGGGTTGGATTCTTGACATGGGTTGCTTCTGTGGCCGGGGACCCTGTGCTTCAGGATCTACAATAAACCCCGGCCCCTAAACCCTGGACACTAAACCCTTAAGGGTGGGGGTTGTAGAAATCTAGGGTTGAATCCTCGACATGGGCTGTTTCTCAACACAACCCTCTGCGAGTAATTGATGACGACCCCTAGAGATTCCCCATACTACTCATACTCCTTGTACATCCCTAGGAATCCCCTATTTGAGGAATTGGCTGCGAGACAAGGTAGAGAAGATCCCAAGTTACAACCAAGTAATATTCTCTTGTACTTGCACCGGTCCGGCCAAGGGAGCTCAGAGCCCCACCAGGGGTTGCCCTGAATGGGTTATTGTGCAGGGGTTTCCCAAAATTAGGGGAACTTTTGAGGGCTGAGGAGTATAGCATTTTGGAGGGTGTATATTGCATATCCACCCTAATTTAGGAAAACTCTTCTACACTTTCCCCCGCAAGTATTGAAGACTTCATCCCTAACTGACATGCAACTTGGCAGCCGTTGTTGTTTTAAGGACAGTAACTGATACGTTTGTTCGTATAGGGTTTAGGGTTTAGTTCGGGGAGATCCCAGGCCGTACTCTACACCAGCACCAACACCAGCACAAGCACCGGTAGCACCAGCAGTGCTAGCACTGGCAGCAGCCGCAGTGACTAGGATGACGGCAGCGTTGATGACATTGAGGGAGGTGCTGCCTAAACCCACGCCATGTCAAGGTTAAGGCACAATTGTCTGGGTAGGCCCCTGGGATATTTGATATTTAGGGCCTGCGGCACTGGCCTGGCCGCCGCTCCCTTGCCCACCCAGCTCTTGTTACCTGGAATGTTTTTTTCAGGTTTGAAGACCCTGTTCTCTCTAGTTAAACTGAAAGCAGCCAAAAGTGGGGTCCCAATTGTGTTCATGATGTTCCTGTACGAGGCGCGCGCGCGCGCGCGCCTCGTACAGGAACATCAGCTGCACAATTGGGACCCCATGATGGCTTGATTGGGAGCAAAAGGGGTCAAAAACCCAAGGAAGACCATCAAAGATGACTTTAGACATGGTTCTTTGTGCAGGCT